CCTAGATATTTCCCTCAAATATTAAATTCATAATACTGATCTGGAAATGCTATCAGATAATGTTTTGAAAAGTCCTTTTAAGGTTAGTTACAGGCAAGTGAAAACCATAATGAGATGTCACCAGCACCTGTTAAAATGGCTGTTATCAAAGACAAACGAGATAGCAAATGTTGGCAAGGGTGTGGAGAGAAGGGAAGCCTTGTGCCCTGTTGCTGGGAATGTAAATTAGCGCAGTAACTACAGAAAAAAGTATGGAGGTTCCTCAAGAAGTTAAAAATAGAACTACCTTATAATCTAGCAATCCTACTTCTGGATGCATAGCCCAAGGAACAAAACCATTACTTTAAGAGATATCTGTACTCCCATGTTCACTGCAGTATTATTCACAGTAACTATGGTATGGAAATAACCTCAATTTCCTTTGATAGATGAATGGATAAAGAAAATGAGATATGTGCATCATCCATACATATGTGTTGTGTATATATATATATCATACATGATATACATGTACATGTATATGATATATACATATACATACATACACAATGGAATATCATTCAGCCTTAAAAAATAAAGGAATTCTGCCATTTGCAATATGGATAAGCTAGAGGGCATCATGCTAAATGAAGTAAGTCAAACAAAGACAAATACTGTATGTATCACATATGTGGAATCTTAAAAAAAAAAGTCAAAATTAATAGAAAGTGTAGAAAAATGGTTGCCAAGGACAACCACCCCCAAGGGATGGGGAAATAGGGAGAGGTTGGTAAAAGGGTACAAACTTTCAGTATAAGATGAACAAGGTCTGAGGATCTAATTTGTAACACAGTGACTGTAATAAATTTACTAAGAAAGTGGAACTTAAATCTTTTCACCCTCTCCCAAAAAAGAAAACCCAAAAACAAAAGGGTAAATATGTGAGGCCACGGATATATTAATTAACTCAGTGGGGGAATCCTTTTAAAATGTATGTGTATATTAAAATCATCACATATATACTCTAAATATCTTACAATTTTGTCAATTATATCTCAATAAAGCTGAAAAAAAGTTACTGGATCTTCTTTAAATTCATTCCAGAGGTCTGAAAGACTACTGATTTATTCAACCTCTGTCCCTGATTATGTAAATTATTTCAGGATTCCCATGGGATTTTGGAAATTACAAGCCAAAATAAACTTACAAAATATTTACATGACTAACATTTAAATCCATTATTAAGTCTGAAATTTTTTAAAGAAACATTGGGTGGAGAGGGAGAAGAGCCAAATGGATAAACTGAGGATAAAATGTATGTTAGATCTTTTATTAGTCCTGGATCTGGTAAACACCTCACTGTGTAGCATTTACTGTAACCAGATAGACTGTAGGTTTCCAACTAAGTATCATACGCTGCCTACAGAATCTTGGGGATGTCACATTTTCCAGTATCTCCAGGAATTTTGGAAAGAGTAGTGCCTATTAAAAAAGCACTTCGGGGTAGTTACATAATTTTTAAACTCTGTTTCCTCTGAGTTTTGATGTGCAAGGGAAACAAGCGGCCATTTTCACCAAAGATAACAAACTTCTTTTTAGTACTAAAAATCTGGTTTTCATTCATCTTCAATAAACACCTGAGCAGTAATTACAGTAATACAAGTTCAGTGCAAAGAATCACTGATTTTGCTGTTCTTTTTTTTTTTTAATGGCAAATCAAAACCACATTTTTTCTTTCTGTTTTTATTTTTAAACTCCCATTAGTTTCTACTGGGATTTCTGCTCAAACATGGCAAATATGTTATAGCTGTTGGCCATTATAAACCACATTTAATGTCACTGAGCCAACTGAACAGACCACCTAAAATAAATCATGGTTGAGTTAAAGTTTTAAAAAAACAGTATTAAAACATTTTCAAGTTTAATATGTTAACATATTTCTCTCTTAACACAAAATGACAGAACATGATTTTCTTTAAAAACCTCCCACTTAGGCAATTAAAACACATACACACACATTCAATATCCTCAAATCTACATGTGGAATTTTTCAAAACAAATTAATTTTGCAACCATCAAACATTTATTCAAAACCATGGATTTTCATGTGCATTTCTCACAGCTGAATTTATTAAGCATTTATGCATCAATGTCATTACGTAAAAGTAGCATGAACTTCTGCACTAATATTATGCAGTTATTATTCTGATTTCTATTAATTCTAATTTTTGCAGAGCACAATTCCTTTCATCCTTGGGGCTAAGCTTATTTACAGAATAAATTATATAGTAGATCTACAGATGTATTTGGCTCAGCGAAAATGTTGTCAAAATGGACACAACTGCTCTAATTTCGAGTTTTAAAACTATTTTTAGCTTTTGGCTTTAAAATTTAACATAAAAAAACCTTGCCCCATAATAGGTTTTTCAATCCAAAAAAAAATAAGTCAATGAAGAAATCAGCTAACTACATCTGTGACAAACGACTGGGACATACTTCACCAGAGGCAGGTGTTCTCAGCTTCACACAAAAATGCTACCTGTCAAAGCATTTGAAGATCAAGAAACCCAGTATGCTAGGTAAGTGAAAGAAATGCCTTCACAGTCAGTTCAGTTTGTAACAAACTGACATCAATGAAAAGACTTCCTGAAGAGATTAATCAAAGAGGACACAGACTACAACTCCCTGGCTGCACACTGCCACCAAGCAGGAGCTCAGTACATGCTGGTGGGTATTCACCCCCAGGGCCCAGAATACGGAGAAGACCTCCTGTACCAACTGGGAGTCAAGGTCACTTGGGAAGATTAATGCCATTTCCTGTCTAGTATAAAACAGGCACGAGTTCACCAGCAGAGGTGATTAAGCTCATCTGTTGGATTGCAAATTAGTCTGGTAAGTGAAAAGGTAGCAATTTTGTCTCCCAGAGAAAAGTAAGAGTGACTTCAGAGATGTCTTCTGAAGTTCAGTGACTCACACCAACTGGCAGACCACATTGGTAAATGGAAGCATGGAAAAGGGAAGAGACGGATCTTCATGCATCCTTGGCCTTGAAGCCAGGGAAAGAGATACACAAATAGCACTGATTTTGTAACATTCCAACTACTGAGCTTCTCAAAGTGAGGTCTGTGGGACAGGCCATGTGCATCATCTGCTGTTACTGGTCCACAGGACTGAAGTACAGAAACTGAGAATAAGCATTTAGAAGCAGCAATTTGACAAAGTAGTATTTATATCTATTGAATCTGATAGGAAAAAAAATTCCAAGCTTGGATTTATATATTTGTTTTTTTTTTTATTTCACTTTCCTAGTAATTGGTTCTTACTGCATTTTGTAAGAAGTATTGATTTAGAATGAATTGGAAATTTTAAAAAAAAGGTCTCTTACCATAGGCAGTCTGAGAAGCATTGCACTTGAGAACCCAAAATATGATTTTGTACAGACAATATGCATATTATGCTTGTAAGTGTATTGATTTACCTGCAATCATCTCTTAAATTACTTGAATATTAAGGTTTTTCAGAAAGAGATAATTTTGCCCATGTATAACACACTAAATTCCTCTGATTATCATCTGAATTAATCTAGAGATATTTCAATTGCGGGCCAAAGAGATACCATATAATCAAAACTGTTCTGAGGAACTGAGATATTAATTAACATGATTCCCGGAGATATTGATTAACATGATTCCCTTGGGAAGGAAGAGTTCTGTGGTCAAACAAGTTTGGGATATAGGCTCAATCTCACAGCCCCCTCCTGGGGAGGAATGATAACACATCAGCATATTAAGGGTCCTGAGAAGGTCTGTAGCTAAGAAAAGTGTCTCACTGCACGATGGGACCTTCTTTATCCAAACACACATGAACATGGTGTTCAGGCAACACAACTTCAGAAATGCTGGAATACTCAGGACTCCAGATCAGCTACCAAATACCTGTCCTGAGTAGTACTTACTAGCTGTTCCTTGTCTTCATTTGTAAATGGATCACACTACCCCTCCCCGCCACCTCCCATTTCTAAGCAGCAGCATCAAGGAGACAATGATCTAAAATCACTTCATACATCCATGTACTCCTTGAGGGCAAGGAATTAGCTCAGGTCTTTTTGTTCCCACAAGTGGTCGGCACAAAGCTGGTCTCTAGGGAATGTTCCAGGATGTCTCCTCACACTCCCAACCCCACAAATCCAGGATGGCTAATTCTAGCAGTCATTGTGTGGGCCACTCCCTAGGAATTCTGTTTTCGGAGGCCTCCTGTCCTCAGGTCCCCTTCTGGTGTGGTGTGGCAGGCACCTGCCTTAGAAATGCAGACAGATGCACAGAGAGCCAGAGGAGGCCCTACACTCGGCAAAAGCCCCAGCTGGTGCCATGCTCCCTTGGCCTAAACCTCTGTGCAGACACGTTTCTCCAAGATGCTGTTGGGGGTGCAGGCCACAGCAGGGCAGGACTCAGGTGTGCAGGCTCTCACGGCCACAGCCCCTGTACCACTTGCCCCCTCTCCCACGGTGCCCAGGTGGTACACAGTAGCCACTGGTTGAACTGGATCAATATTGCATTCACCTTAGTGGGAGAACAACTTAAACACAAGTAATATCACGACCAAAAAAAGAAAGCATTGTAACAAAGAAATCATGTCAAGGCTTAACAGTATCTCTTTCCCAACTAATACCATTATCCAGCTCCTATTTAACTTGTCTCCCCATTTCAATGATCAAAAATAATGCATTGGCCCTCAAACAACTGTTGTTTTTAACTTCTATAGCTCCTCTGTTTACTTCAAAGGCAGCACCCAGCACTTGAGCACCATCCACAAGGTCATGTGGTGGGTGAAATGTAGGACAAGGAATTAGTTTTTGTGACATTCTTCCAACCACCAGACCACAGGGTCTTTGTTAAGATCAAAATTATCATGAAATATTATTTACATGGTACACAATGAGCTCAGTTCTGCTGCTGTTACACACAAGCCATAACTTAAAATAACGAAAAATATAAAGATAAGGAACTCTTCGTTTTACTCACTGTTCACATAAACATTAAATGTCACGGAAGAACTGACGTCAGAATTGGACACTAGAAACATGTAAGTGCCTCCTTCGGTCCCCTTTAATCTGGTTAGATGAAGTTCACTCACATATCTACAAAGAAAGGACAATCAGTCACCCTGGATGGCCTGCCGTGGAGTCTTTTCCAGTTTCCCTCTGGAAATAACATGTCTTCATGGAGAAAAAATATGACCAAATTCATAGTAAGAAGATCCATATTAACAAATACACACACACACACACACACACACACACACACACAATTAATGTGAGACAAATGCCTGTCGTGAGTGAAGGCCGCCTCCCAGCCACTGCAGCCTCTCCCTCCACACACACACACACACACACACAATTAATGTGAGACAAATGCCTGTCGTGAGAGAACAGGGTGGGAAAAGGCCTTCTCAGCATGAAGGCCGCCTCCCAGTCACTGCATCCTCTCCCTCCTCCCTCGCTGTCCTCACACCTGCCTCCTTCTCTGCCTTGGTCCTTGGCCAAACTTGCCTGTCGCCGGTGTCCTGAACTCACCCACCCTGCTTTGCCTTAACGACGCTCACCTGGCAATTCCCAAGACTGGCACCACCCACATGTAGGTGTCTTCATGCAGGTGCTTCAGAGCCCCCTCATCTTTGTTCTTGCAACACCACCATCTCCTGGCTTCCCTTCTACCCCACTACCTCTTCCTAGTGTCCTTTGCATGATTTGGTATTCGAGCTTCTGTTTCACTGCAGGGCCATCAGATTCGGCTGTGTAGACTGACCACAGGTTCGCCTGTTGGGACCTGTTACTGACATGAGCTGGTGTGCATGGAGCGCCCCAGGGAGCTCTCCACCCATGCAAGCTGCACAACCACCTCCGCGCAGGCAGTGGCTTCCGACTGCCCTCTCCCACAGCACGTGCTCCACAGGCGATCCCCTTTCACTTGAAACCATATGCTGTTTGCTCACAACTTTCAAATCCTTATCTGTAGCCCAGATTTCCCTGTTGACACCTCCCTGGCAGGGCTATTTTGCATGCTCCCATCCTTCTTGCCTTGTGGGCCCCCTAATAATGACTCACACCTGGCAACCTTCCCCCAGTCTAGCCCTTGGGAGATCAGACCCACAGGGAATAACCATATGCTGTTTGCTCACAACTTTCAAATCCTTATCTGTAGCCCAGATTTCCCTGTTGACACCTCCCTGGCAGGGCTATTTTGCATGCTCCCATCCTTCTTGCCTTGTGGGCCCCCTAATAATGACTCACACCTGGCAACCTTCCCCCAGTCTAGCCCTTGGGAGATCAGACCCACAGGGAAACTGACTGCCGGGAGGGTCTACAGCCAATGAGGGGCTGAGCCATGGGAGGAGCTATAGTCCAGCGCCACAGCTCCCGTGGATCAGACTGCAGCTGACCTTTCCTCCCCTCACCCCAACCCCCAGGAAGGTCTCTTTCCTCCTTAAAGATCTCTTGCCTGAGGACTCCTGTCTCAGGCTCTACTTCTAGGGAACCTGACCAGGGATACTTCTTACCTGAGCTCTCCACTCAGGATCCAAGGGTCAACCTCAAATTCAACAGATCCCAGGCCACACTTGCTATCTTTGTCCGTCTTCCTCCTCGTCAACCAGCAGTGCCCCCTTGCCATTCAACCTGGCCGAGGTGCACAGACTCCCGAGTGCCCCTCTCCTGCCTCCCAGTCACCGACTCGCACTGAGGAGGTAGCGTGGCCACTTCCCCACCCACCCTCTTCCCTCCGACCCTTAGACTTTGGACCAGGACAGCATCATGTCTTACCTATATTCTTAAAACAGCCAACAGCTCCTGACTAGAAAAAAAATACAGACTCCATCTAGGCACCTACCTCTTATTAGCCCTTTGATCTTAGTCAAATTCCTTGTCATCTATGTCTCAACTTCCTCTTCCCCAGAAATAAGGGAAAGAAGAGTGCCTCCTCATGGGGTGTGCAGGACTAATACTGAGTCCACATACATAAGGTGCTTAGAGCAATGCACGCAGAAAAAAGCACCCACAGCTTACAAGAGTGTAATTACTGCTACTATTTTTATTATATATGTTTTCAAAGATCACATGGGAGGTCTCATATAAAACAAGTGGTGTTCACTGCATAGCCCAAAACTCCTTAATGATGCTTCAGTTTCTTAAAGTTTAAAAAAATTAAAGGTACTAACTTTCCTCTTTCTCTGAAAAGAAACTATTTAATGTGTCCTTAGTATCTTCTGGTCACTGATGTGAACTGTCCTCAACTCTGGGAAAGAACTATCGTCCACTTTACCAATGAGAAAACTGAGGAGCAGACTTTTTTGTGTGTGCTCTAAATTAAAGATTGGGATGAAGACTCAGGAAGCAAGTCCAAACTTCCTTCCACACGCGCCGTCCTCGCGTACACTTACAGGGCAAAGAGGGACCAGCTAGAAGAGGGGGGAGAGTGAAATCTGCAGGGCCAGGCCCCTTTCTTACCGGATGTTGCTTTCATTGTCAGACTTGGGATAATCTTCCCATTTATCCGTGGAGGTTCTGTTCATATATATCCACTGTCGGTGTTCAGGTTTGGGGTACGCCTCGTATTCAACAATCAGCTCTACATTCTCTCCATCGTTTACAAATATTGTAGTATTCATCATAGGGAAGATAGTAATGAATCCTTTATCTAATTATAACAGAATAAAACAGAAAGAAACTGTTATCCCCAAGTGCCCAACAAAAAAACCAAGCTTCATCTTTGGATCCCAAAGATAACTGGTTTCCAGTACTAACTGGCAATAACAAGTAAGAGAATTTAACAAGCCATTTTACATTTCTCTTTCCTCCTTTAATCACTGTCATGAAGTGAGAAAGGACACACACTTGAAACATTTATTCTTCCATCTCTATTTAAGTCCCACATGAGCTGTCATATAGTATCTGCTACTGCCCTTTAGCTCCCTACACATTCAGAATAAAAAATGGAATCCCACCATCATTCGTACCAATGGAAAAAGGATGAGAATGAAAAATCATCCAAAAGAAAATAATCACCTTCTTCTAATACCTAAATCAGAACTACCCCCTGACAGTGTTTAAGCTGTCAGGTTTATTTTGAGGGAATCAATGTTTCATCTGAATGCTACATTAAATTTTCAGGTTCTGAAGGTCATAAATACAACAATACTATACCATGCAAGACTTTGAAATACTACGAACAATAGTCACACAAATTATTTCTCTCACAATCACCACATACAAAACACTTATCACTAGTTCCTTCTGAGTTTTTTATAGACTAGTTTGCTCAATATATTTTTATGTCTATAGTGGAAGAGCTTCAAATTCATGAAGGATATAAGAATTATTAGAATCAAAAAACTCCATCCAAGTTGTTACATGATTTTTTTTTCAAGTTCTTCTGCATTAAGAAATTGGTGATACACTAACATTTAATCAAGTACAAACACTATGCCAGGCACTTCTATAAAATCTATTGTCTTTCCACCTTTGCACAGCCTTGGGAGTGAGAAGCTGTGTTTCTCAGAAGAGAAAATGCAGGCCATGTTAAAGTGGGGCGAATTAGAAAGTTAAGTGGTTCTGTCCCAACTCAAAACCAGGTCGCAGCCACCATGAAATCTGGTTTTCTCCACCACTCCATGTTATGTCCAAATCTTATTCCCAGCCCCTAAAGAAATTATGTTTCTCTTTGTTTCTTCCTGCTCCTGTCGTGTCCCAACCCCCTGCTGAAACAATACAAAACCAGATTCAGATTTCATGGCCCCAAGTCTTTCCAGTTATATAGTTATATTCTTGGAAATTGATGAATGGATTTTAAAAATTTGATTACATACAACAATATACTCAAAACATCCTTACTAATTGCTTTCTGGAGCTGAAGCTGATATATCAGCATGCTCCCTAATCAACTTAGCAAATTAGCACTTATGGAGTTTAATATTTTAAAAGCATAGCCTTCTATTCAAATTAACAAATGGTTTACGATCACGTTTAGGGATAAAGTAATACTCTTTCTGTGTGCTAACTCTATAATTGCAAGTAAAGTATCTTTTCCACATTCAGTCTGGTGAGATCCTTTCCATTATAACATGAGCAGAAATGCCCAAATTATATGACATTATTGTGGGATAAATCACAGACCTTTAACATTTCTCCATAAATTATTGAAGAAACATGAAGGAAAGTAGAGAAATGAAAATAAATATTATATCATTTTATTATTGCTCATGATGATGAATTTCACCATCATGCATGTATTTAATCAAAGTCAAGCACTATGAATATGGTTGCATTAAAGACAAGAAAAGACTAAATTCAAACAATACTCAAAAAAGTGTATACATGAAGTAATTTTAAAATTATTATTTTCAGTAAATCAAAAAATCCAGTACTTCACTACACTCTTTCATTAAGCAGATGCTTGAAAAATAAATATTTAGTGAGATTTCTAGAGTGGGGAAAAGGCTAAACCAATTGTATGTACCAAGTATGTTGGGGTTAAGGGCACAGGTGCCATGTTTCAGCTGATGCTCTGTAGGACCCATGCTCCAGGCTGCAGTGGACCTCCTTCCTGAAGGTTCATGCTATGGCCTCTAGGTTGGAGGATTGGACGAGGTGAGGGGCATTCCAGAGAGAAGCCCAACTCAGCCCTTCCTGCTACAAGTGAACTGGAGCCCATGAGCAGTGGAATGAGAAACGCTAGGCTGAGGAGCATCACCAAAAGATCCAGAGACATACTTTAGGCTCTAAGCATTTGCAATATTTCAGAGAGTCTAATTCCATTTCCAAACTCAATTCATTCAGCAAGGACTAGAATTTCTGAAGAAGCTCAAAACTTACATTTTATTTGTCTGGCAGGAAGGGGAAGGGTGGGTAGCAGAAAATGTTTAAACAGCTTCTGTTACAGCTTTCCACTTACCTCTATTAAATTGGTAGAATTTGCTTTTGTGCTCAAGTTGGAAGAGGCTATAAATGATAATTTTCTTTATTTTATTCATTCATTTATTCATTCATTCATTCAGCGATAATAAAATCTCTAAGAATCTGTTCAACATTCCATTAACATAAAAAGGAAACTATGTAGTAATTTCTTCTTTCACTACTGCCAGTAATTTATACAGTCCCATAAAGGTATTTACCTACTACTTCCAAGGTTGTTGTGACATTTGCTGATCCAAAAGTATTATTGGCATAACACATGTACACTCCAGAATCATTAACTCTCGCTGGGCTGATAGTCAACCTTTCCTGACGCACAAAATTGAAGTCACCCTGATGCCAGCTATTACTCTTCACTTGTGTGTTAGTCTGCTGGTTTCAGAAGGGGAAAAAAAATTAAAGATTACCATACAATTTATATTCAGGGTCTTTCCTAGATAAATTAAAAATAGCAGCAATTAACTTCTCCATATTAGCATTCATTATACACTATTTAAATAAGAATACTAAAGCATCATGACAGGCCTGTCATTGGGACCCTTCATACTATAGGATTATATTGAAAAAGAGTTATTACTAATGATGAGGAAAAAAACATGAAAATTCATTTCTTAATAACCATAGCATACATAATTCCAAATTCTCTGCAGTGCTAATTATTTTCTAACACTGCCAAACTTAGTTTATAACTTTATTTAAAACTTAGTATATAAGAAATATTACAGAATACTGATATTTTACAATGTTTCAGCATGTTTACATCATATCAGTATTTCCTCTTACATTTTTCCTATTCTATATCCCAGTGATCGAAAGAAAACATAATGCTAATAACAGTCATGTTCTATTTTGTGAACATTTATGTTATTTTCATGAATAAAGAAAAATAGAATTGCAACATCTAAAACTAATTAGGAATTAATCCTATAGTTCTTACCCAGCAAATTTCTGGCAATTGAATTCCGAAGTATCTAAGATACCAAAATCAAGCCCCAAATTATGTAAGCATAAACTGAAGAGAAAAAGTCCAAATTTACTATTGTGACAACATTCTACTCTTATTTGTCTGTAGACCAGACATGGGAAGATTTTTTTTTTGTATGGAGATGTCATGGGCAAGAAACCATAATACAAACTATAGCCACTCTCTGAAAAAATTAAAGGAAGTAGCAAATAGCTTTAATTTAGTTAGATGTAGATCTTCCAAATTTTCTGTTATGTGAACACATTTCTACTACAATGGGGAAAAAAAAACAACTAAAAAAAGAAAGTAAACAGGAGCTGATACTGATATAGAACAAGATCAAGGGTAAGTTGCTGGCCAAGTTATGGTGAACCAATTAGCACTGGACCATTCTGACAGTATTGCAAATCAGAACAATCCTTCTGGGAAGCAACTGTCAGTATGGTCATAACCCTCATCAATTCCAGAAAATTCATCTCTAAGAAATAACTCAATACAAAACAAAAGCTCCAAGATATTACAGTAAAAACTCAGAGATGACCTAAATGTCTACCAGTTATCAAAATTATAAATATGTGAAAATAAGAAAAATGTTTATATTACTTAAAAAGCATAAATAGAGTGTACCTTAAAACTGTAGCCCTGTGATGATGCATATGCATGGGGGCACAAAGAAAAGAAATAGAAAAAAAAAATGCAGGCAGGCAATATAGAATTTATAAGAACTAGCCACATGTGACAACTGACCACTTGAAATGCGGTAGTCCAAAATGAGTTGTGCTATATAAATATAAAATATGTCCTGGATTTTGAAGACTTAATATTAGAGAATTTTACATTACATAGGATGCTCATATTATATTTCTATTGCACATCACTGCTATATATGACAGTAGAATTATATCTATTTCTCTGTTATTGTATTTTTGGAGACATTTTTACATTAAAATAAGCACACATCAAAGATGACTGCCAAAGCTGAGTGTTTGAAATTAAAAAAAAAAAAAACTTGCTTTGTTAACTGAGATCTTGGGCAAGTCAAGGATACCACTAGTCTCAGCTTTTATTTCTAAAAGGGAATAAGGGGAAAAAGATCTTTAAAGGCCTTTCCAATTTGGAACAACATGTAGATCTGTAGATCCTCTCTTCTAAGACGGTTTTATAATAATTGGCAGGAATCCACGATTTCATTGCATAAAAACAACTGTTAAAAAGATACAGTAACAAGGTAAAGTGACATTTTCTCTAACCTCTCCTAGACTATCACATCATAGACTTCTCTGCAAAGGCAGATTGACAGTGGATAGGTGGTAACACCATATTCTATATTTCTGGTGTCTTCCTTCCAGTCCTTGCAAGAGCCCAGGAGTCTAAATAGGGAGCTAAACAGGAACAAGGAACATGTCGTACCAAAAGGAATAGATGATCATAAAAATGCAATACTAATACCCAAACCAAGACCATAATTTAGGATACTGTCAAAGATCATAATTAAAAGTAAAAATACAAGGGTTTAGAAGCATTATAAAAGTTAACCAAGATTCACAAGTGTTGAATAAACTCCAAGACTCTCTTAGGTTTTCCAATAAACAGTTGTAAAACTCTACAACAGTCACCTTACTCTAAATTTCATTGTGAGTTAAACTTATTCTAAATGGTCAGAACCAAACACTATGGATTTTTAAAATAATTTGATAGTCTAACAGTGCTCAGTATCCAAATTAAGCCAAAGGACATCAAAAAAAGATTCACGGATGCACCTTGGCATAGAGCCATGAGCCCCATCTGCAACTCACACATTACATATTGTTTGCACGTGATTTGGTTTTCCTTAACCCTTGGGAGGTGCACACTGAGATTTCCCCAAAGAACTCCCAACACTGAAGGCTTATCTACCAGCGCCAGTGGATTAATTGGGAATGGCATGCAGGGCTCCTGGGAAAAATGACTCAGAACAAAACTGCCTGGGGCAATTTAATTTCTCATCTCAAAAAGGCTAATTTCTAGTTATAAAGAGGCTCAAATACACACAGTCTAAACTGTTCTTTCATCTGAAATGAAGGATCATAGAAAGCTATATGGAGTTAATACGGAATTGTATTTATAAGGGTAGTCAAAAACCCATGTACAAGCTATTGTTTTTATTGAATCACATGATATGAAAATTAAAATTTGTTTCTCTAAGTCATTGGTTTCAAAGAACAAGTCTACAGGATGATCCATTCTCCCAGGCAATGGCAGGCTTCACTTAGCAGGGCACCATTCATCACAGGTCTAATGAATACCATCATAATACTTTGCATTATGCTAATCATCATCACGGTTACTTATTTAGCAAAGAAGTCTTCAAGCACACATGAAATTGCTAATGTTGAATATAGAGCATGAGGAGGAAGAAGAGAAAGAGGAAGAAGGAAAACATAATATTTCTTTTTTTCCACAACAATGCACACTGAAGAAAAAAACACTGTCATAGCTAATTAACTAGATGGCCAAGATTATTCAAACAAAAATTACTGAAAACCCAAGTCAATGGGAATTTTAAGGCAAAAAATAAGGGAAATTAGATGTTTCAAAGACCTTGCAATATTTAGAGAGAATAACAAATATAACTTGTTAAAATTTATTTATTTTTAAGATATGTCTAACAAGGTACTGACACGTAGTAGACATTCAATATGCATTTGTTAAATGAATGAGAACCAAAATACATCCAAATGTTTCAGGTTAAAGATAACCGTTTTATTAATAGCGATTAAAACAAATAGAAAACCATTAGCAACTTGATCTCAGGTAACCAGCCTCAAAGGAGGAAATCAGATCCATGCAAAAAGAAACACATCTCTCAAATGGATAGTCCAGTTTGTGGAGAAAGGAAAAACATTTATTCTTTTTAAACATGAAAGGAAAAAAGATTGGTGACTCTTCCCCATATTTTAAATAATCTGGTATGAATAGTTTTGACAATAGCTTTAAAAATCAAGGTTTTGTGCAGTTAACCATTGGTTTTTAAAAAAAATTTCCCTACTAAAATTATTCAAAGAAATGGCATGAAATAATAATATGAGTCCAAAGTTCTCTCTTTAATTTTCTCAAAATGAATTTATAAAATGACATTTATTTGTTACTAATAGTGAATGTGCACATCTACATATGGTGGTAGGAAAGGGAGAAATATGCATACTCCCAGACTGACAAGTCCGCTAAGCCACCCCCAGGACAATTAATAGACTCTTTTAAAGAAAACCTTTAAAATCTTTCACACAGAAAGCATGACATATTGAGAAAATGAGGGAAACAATTCACTCACCTGGCTGTTTTCCCTTATCCACATTGAGTCCACAGAACTAGATACATCTTTTATCAAGCACATCACTGTAAATTCTTCCCCTTCCCTGAGAAGATAGCTTGCTTTGGACACAGACACAACAGGTACAGCTCTGATGGCTAGAATAAAAAGAATGTGGTCCTCAAATAATTTGTTCTATTATAGCGCATTTTAACTCACCACTTTTCTTCAAATGCACATAGCTTATTTTGTCATCTTTCAAATAAAATATAAAGTTTGGTACTAACCAATCTGTACTACTTGCATATGGGAAGACATCAGCAATTAAAGCATGCATCCTTCAAGTAAACTCATTTAACATGGAGTGAAAAAGACAGGGATGTCTACTTTATATAATAATGGTCCAGGACAATGCTACTTCAGAACCGGCAGAAGCCCTAACATAGCAAAGCGGCTTTAATCTTGCCTCACACAACCTTGACTGGTTTCATGAAGATGTGACCTACAACTAATTACACGATTTTAACCAAACAGGCTTCTTTCCTATGTGCTTTAAAAATAGTATCTTGCTTGTTTCTGAAAACCCCAGGTTTTAATCATTGAACTTTCTGTAATTCCAATGAGCATACTTTTTCAAAAGCCTTAATAAAAATTGCTCAATAGCTGAATGCCAGCTACTGTTGAATTAGATGATCTATCAGATACAAAATTTGGATTATCTTCCAGCTACCAAAATATTTAATATAATGCCACAGAAACAGGTCCATAGTCAGTTGGTTCTTCCCCCCCTTAGACTGTGAACAGTTTGAGAATGCATTAAAATTAAAGAGTGGAAGAGACAGTCAGTTCATATACCAATAGTAAATCAAGAAGTGAATAATCTGTATGTTAATCTTTTCAAACAGTGTAAAGCTCCCCCAAGGGGTTTCTCTTAGAAGGAACACTTCATGCAATTGTCAAACTTTGGGGTGTCCTGAGGTCTAAATGCCAGTGTATAAACAGAACTAGTGGAGGTCATGGCTGGTCATGTGGGTTTGGGCCTGTGAAAGAAATAAAGAACTCACAAAAAGTTCACATTATTTGGAAGCCAGGGGAATTGATAAAGAGCCAGCTACCCTATATATGTTAAGATAGACCAGCAAGAAGCAAGAAGTCTTCTTTTGATCAACAGATTCTCTGACTCACAAAAGAAAGTAAGAAAGGGCCCTACCTGCCCTCACTTTCAGGGTGAATTTCTTCGACAACACTGACTTGCCATCACGCCTTGCAGAGCAGTGCAAGCAGAGCCGATGATATTCACGCTTCACGTTTCTGATGGTGATGCCGGCCTTGGGATTGGTGACAAACGTCAAGTCCTTGGGAAGAGGTTTCCCCTCGCACCCCATGAGGGAGTAATTGGTCACCTCTGGGTCTGTCAGAGGACAGCGGACCAGTGTATCATTGCCTTCCTTCCCATACAAGGGTGGGTCAGTGAGGAACAGCTTTGCAGGATCTACAGCACATCAGAAATTGGCAGTTTGAATGGCCGGTCACTGGCACTGAAAACATTTTTAAAAGATCTAAAACGTTGCCTTTCATAACAACAACCCCTAGTAGCCTAAATGGCTCCTTTGCAAACAAAACTAGAATTTATCCAAGTAATACTAATGGGCAAGAGCTAATATTTATTATGAGAGTTTCCACGTGTCAGGCACAAAGCTTGGACCATTACACACTTTATTTAAAACATTTATCACTTATCTTCTTCAAAACATCCCTATATGATGGACACTATCATCACCATTTTATAGATGAAGAAACTGAAGTCTCAAAAAATGACTCTCCTAAAATGACATCGCCAGAAATGGCTGAGCAGAACTCAAAACCCCAGTCTAATTGGTAGCCACAACATGAGCTCTTAAAACTCTGAGAGTATATTATTACAATGGTACTCTTTTTCCTACAACAGGTAATACTCCAAGTAGCATGGGCCAAGAATAAGCTAGTCTGATGGTGCTGGGCCAGGCATTCTTCCTCCTACCCCTGTGTGTGGGCCCCTTTGCAAAGTTTCTAGTCTCCAAGATCTTTCAGCTTCTGAATAGAATCTTGAAAACTATCTGTGGGTCACCCAGCACAAATAACATGTGGGCCTTCCTCTATTTGTGCTCCTTGAAACTTATGTATAAATGTAAACTTCTGAAAATCAAAGACATTCCTATGCACAAAGGGAGTGTAAGAGTTTCAAGAACATTGTGGCATATGGCTTATGGTCCAAACCAGGACACTTGTGAGTCAAAGCAGTATTGTTAATTATATCTGCACACGAGGCATGGACTGGAAAAGCCTCAGGCAGACTGGGACCTCGTAGAAGCGAAGATAAGCCTCATTCTGCACACACACTATCCTGCCACCCCTACCTTGGAAAGATCATACAGATATACTGTTGGGCCAGCAGAGTACATTCATAATGTCTTGGAGATGTCCTTTCCATCTAGAAATCAGGTATTCCACAAAATCAATTTGACATCATTTAAAGATACTTAACATTTCACTTTGACCAATTCTGAAAAAGAGCTTTCCAAAATGAGTTATGCCCCTCCCAGCCTTACTAATTTGTCCTGCAAATAAATTACCTTCATGATGGCTGAACTATGGTTTGAGGCCATAATTGGTTATTTTCCCACCTACTCTTTCTCAGTTGTTTGAGTCTAGCTCCCACGACAATGCCCAGTTTCCTCCACTGCTAGGACATAAATTGCTTAAGTATCCAAGCATCTTATATCAGTAGTAGTTAAGTCTATAGTTCTAAGTTATTGAAGATGACTTCCTCAGTGAGCTCTGTGAGACTGATTTAGCTAATTCAGCAGTTCTCCCCATTTACTCAGTTATCTACTCACCCTACTGATAAACACAATGATATTTCATTACCACCTAAAAATTATAAATAGAATACTTTACTGAACGTCAAGGAACAGCACACAGGTTGGGTCAACAATGATGGAACCATACCAGAGGCTAAGCTCTGACTTATCAATGTGTATTTCTTTTTCAGCTACCTGCCTAGAAAAGAATAATGTGTAAACTAGGAAGAGGCAAAGTCAATTTCCTAACAACCTTCTTTAGGGCACATGTGAGCCAACTTTATCAACCCCTGATAGAGCTGGAATTTGCACATTTCTGCCTCCTGAACAACAATTATCCGGAAGACAGAGTAGGTCATCTCATCTGTATGTTGTAGTGAGGAACTGAGACTCTCTAGGTTGCTCAGATCTACAATCTAGAATAAATTTGTTCACTATCCTTCGACAATACCATGGATGCAGTCTGCTCTGGCCTGTTTCAATCATACAAACCCAGGAGTAATGCTGGGACTGCTTCTCCTCTGAAACCCAAGTCGGTCTCTTAACCTTTAAGTACTGGGCTTTTTATACCAACAAAAAGATACTCCTCATTGCCCCACGAAGCCCCTCAATGACAAACATCCTCTTGATAAGGATGTTCAAAGCACAAACACAGATGAACCACTGAATTCATCATAGGAAATGGGATACAGAAATCCAACTATGTTTTTCCTTTGTTTCTAAGAGGTCACAATTTTTTTAATCAATCAGCTGACATCTACTAAGAACCTAGGAAGGCCATGGGGTACTTGGCTAACTGAGTTATTTTTCTGGAATTTACTCCCTAAAAGGGAGTCAATTCCTTTGAAGTGCAGGCCTGTTTAGGCCTCTAGAGGCCTTTGGTTTCCTGAAGTGTTTTTACTTAGTGAGAGTATCTAGCATCTCAAGGCATTAAAATGCCGCTTTCCCAAAGGGCATAATTTACTCTCAGGGTTTATGCACAGCACCAGGACAAACGGGCTAACCATCCTTTGATCTCCTTAGGAAGAGGTTCACAGCCTTGCAGACCTTCATCCACAGTCACACCAAAGCTATTGTGTACCAGAAGATGAGGGAAGCTAACAGAGAAAAATTTATTTTAGGCTTTCTAGACCCAACCAGTAATATTTTCTCTATAGCTCAGCCATCTGTATGTCATAGATAATTAAGAACAGGATATTAAGGTCTCTAAAGCACAGCATCAAAGAAAGTCAAGCATTTACCTCTAACAAACACGTAAATGGAACTGCCTACGCCACCTTCATTGATGCATGTGTAATTGCCTGTATTGGTGGCCTCTGCTTCCTCCATGATCCATTCACTCCGTGTGTTCTCACTCAGTTGACCCAGGATCTCAAAAGTCCATTTGACAAATCCTGGATCAGTGCATAACAGCCTAATCTGTTCGCCAACACTGACTATTAACTCTGATTTTGCCGGATGGATGGATGGTGGAGACAGTTCCCCTGGACTCACAGATGGTTGAGAAGAACCTGCCAAGAAAAATGAGAATTGTGTTGAGTATGATCTTTTTCCTTGGTGAAATAAAGCATTTTTTCCAATATTGATTTCCATCTTCTGTGTACTCTACAATAAAAATAGGACAAAGCTGCCCTGCTATTTATGGTTAGAATGAGTTCTGTTTAAAGTTTCTTAAGTTCATCTAGAAAATTAAATTATTTTCTGCAACCCTCAATTAATCCTGAGGGGCATACTTGGTATGCAAGCCAAGACTTGCTGGATGCCATGAACTTCTCTGGGTTAAACATACAGCTGGGTCAAGTTTCCATCCTGAATATGGTCAATCACAATGGTACTGACATGCTGTCACACAGCTTAAAAACAGCAAAAACAATATCTCACACTATAAAAATTATGGCCCTGTCTTCTTTTGGCAAAATGTACATGACCGTGACATAGCTTGGTTTTTTCTTAAAGCCTTGTGAATTCAGTTATTTCTATGCAATTCTCCTTATATGGTGATTTCATCAAAAGGGCAACTATTTGAGTTTCAAACAATGAGGCAAAAAATAAAAATCCCATTTTAAAGATCAGACCCTGAGGTATTTCATAGTATATTCTGGGTTGCAGCCTGATCAACCTAACGCCTATAGAGGTTTGTCAGATAGGAAACCAGTGTAAAGATGCAAACTTCAGCCTCTGAATAAACAACCTGAACCTTAGAAAAATCACAGCAGCCAATTTACTCACTCACTTATTCATACATGTGTTGCATGAATGCAAAGGTATGTTCATTAATTATGATATGCAAAGCATCATGCTAGCTGCTGGGAAAAGCCCTGTAAGTGTGACACATGGTCCTTACACACTCCAGAGCTTAAAGAACTTACTGCTCATGTATCGGAATAAGTGAAACAAAGCTACAAGACCACTGAACTTTAAAAATAAGGAAGAGGTGGGCTGGACCTGCACAATATCATAAGAGGTGAAAGAGAAGATAGACATATACCACTGAGAGATGCTGTGTAGAGGGTTTAGAGGTTTTTCAGTAGAAAACTGACATGAACAGAGACACCAGAGGTCAACAAGGTCAAGGAAATCAGTGAAATGCTCTGGTCCTCAGGTAGGCAGAAAGAAGAACCCACAGCAAGGATTTGAGACTAAAGAAGAAGATGCACTATACTGTCAGAAGAGGAAAACATTAAGGATTATAAGTCATAGTGTAATGAAAAATATAAAAGGTTAACTCACATATGACCTAGGAGAGAGAGAGAAGAAAACGGCTCTGGACGAGGTGGGTTGGGGCAACAGGATAATAGGACTCCCTGGAGAGCTTTCAATCACTTCTGCAGGATCATGGGGGGAATGGCTCAGATGCATGGGGTTTTTGCCACCTCCACACACACTGGAGACTAGAACTGACCTGAGTTCTGGAAGAGGAGTAAAAACCGGGCCAGGTGAAGAAAGGAGTAAGTGGGAGGCAAAGGCAGCAAGAGCAAGTAAGCTGAACCAGGGAACTCTCCACAAGCACTGGGTGGATGGGGTGGGGAGAGGGAGACATGATCAGAAAGGCATTGGCATGGCCTTGGCAAGAGCCCTGCTCCCAGGGGCTACCTGGGTGGTAGAGGGACTTCTCACCTAACAACCTGGAAACCACATGGTGGAGGAGGAGCCGTTATGTGTGAAGTTAAGACAGGATCAGATAATCAAGGAAAAGGGCTTATGGGGTAAAATGGAACACACAAAGTGCCAGTCTTAGAGAGTTCTTCTACCTCAGAAGCTCTAGGAAACATGCAAGAGAGACTTACACACACACACAGCCACCACCAGAAAGGAAGAAGAAAAGCTAAAAGGGGAGGATGGCAGAACATCAGGTTTCCAAGAGAAGGTAGGTGGGTCCTGGGGCTGACCCTGAGCAAGATCAAAGGGAGTGAACAAAAGTCCCTAAATGTGGTTAGAAAGAGACCACAGGAAATCCCAGAGTACAGTTTTAATTGAGTGGGAATTTCTGTTTGCTCCAAAGTTGGAGGCGGCAAGCGTAGGCCTCTCCTTGGAGAGCTATGGCAGGAGAAGGCCGAGTAGTGGATCGATGTCAAATAAGGAGAAAGTTTAGCAAGGCAGAAGTCCATTAAAGAAAACAGGAAACCTGTTGGCATTGAAGACAAAGGAAGGGGGTTTGTGGGGAGGGACGGGCCCAAGATGTTCTGAAAAAGGGCTGTACCTATCTCCTGCAGGAGGTGGAGCTGACTAGTCTCAATTCCAGTTTGTTATCCAAGTATTTCATCTGGGTAACTTTTACCCTAGCATCAACTGTAGCTCCATGAGGTCATGCAAAGGAGGCCCCACAGCAGAAGACACTCAGGAAGCTTGGTGCACATAAGAAATGGCAAGGCCAATTATCACCATCAAATGTTGCTCAGCACCGACCGTACAGGAAGGGCCGTAGTCAAGACTGTCTGTGCCCACTGGGCTCAGCATCCAAATGGAGCAGCCAGAGAACGGAAACAAAGTGCTTGGGATTATTTTGAAAGGGAGTTAAATAATGCAAATGGGCACAGCAATAAATGGTGATACTATTATTTCAATTATTTATGCCCTTTAAGAAGGAAGTAGATCCAAGTGAACATGAGTGATGTTGATCATTAATTCAATCCAAAAATTCTTAACAAATTTATATTGCAATGTATTTCAAGCAATTCAGTTTTCTCCTGAGAAGATCTAAGGGGCATATGTAGATATTACAATTCAGTTGAATAAATATTTCTGACTTCCACAAGACCTACTGTGCCAATATAAGCAAGGCCTAGCTGTATGACCTAAGTCAGGCCCCTCAATCTCTCTGTGTCCAAGTCCATATCTGGAAAATGATGATAAAAATGCCCTCACCTCAGAGTTCTTACGGAACTCCAATGCGCTAAACACATGCAAGGAGCTTAACACAGGATTGGGTAGTTTTTAATAAATGCTAGTTATTATAGTGAAGCAGTAAAGCAGACTAGGGAAGCACTTGGCTCTTGAGTTAAGACTGGAGATTTGCATCCTGCCTCTGCCACTTACTAAGTGTGTAATCCTTAGGCAAGTAACTAATCAACTCCATCCCAGTTTCCTCATTTCTAAAGGGGGCTCAGTAAAAGCCCCTACCTCATAACACTGTTATGTAGAACACTCAGAACTGGGCTTGGACACACAGAAAACACTTAATAAATAGTAGACACAATTATTCTAAAAACAGAACCACTTATCACTCTTCCAGTCAGTCCTGAGTTACTCACTTCCTACAGATGTGAAAGGTTCCATCATTTCCCAAACAGGACCTTGCCTGACTTCTCCCTCCTTGGCAGCAAATCCTCGCAATCCCTCCTTCAAACCTCTGCCACACATCCTTGTGTGCCTTTCCATTCCTGCTGCCCGATCCCAGGCTAGCCATTTACCACCTCTCAGAGAGATAACATCCCTCCCTAAAGGACCTCCATGCAGCCAGCCTCTGCTCACTCCATGCCCATTTCACCAAACCTCAGGACCCTGAGATCCATTAGCCTCAAACACCTCCTTCATCATCACAATCCTGCTCTAGGCCTCAGAAACCCTAACAGAGGCAGCAGCAGCTAACACTGACATTGTGTACACTTAACAAGTCCTTCTGTAGGATTAACTTCCAGCTGTCTCCTCTGGACCTACCACTCCAGTAAGACAGATCCTTAGGATCCTAAGGATCCTACATAAACATTCTTCATTCCTCGCTATGCCCACCTACCTGCTTCTGTTCCCAGGACACCCCATCTATTCACCTTCTTGTCCTGTGGAAAGCCCTGTCTTCATGAATGTGGTTCCCTAAGCCTCCAGGTCAGTCACCTGTCCCACTAAATCCCTCCAACATGGCCCGCCCGTCACCCGCTTGGCTTGTACTGAGGATGCTTGATAGTGGTCTACTTCAAGACCTGCCTGCTCTACCTATCCAGGGTCTTAGAGCCCTCAGAGTAAGGGTCCTAAATTGTACTTTTTCCCCTAGCACAGGCATAAAAGCATTCCCTTCAATCCCTGAACATAATGAAAGACTGAAGGAATGACAGGTTCCTAAACACCCAGCCCCTATAACAAATATCAATGGTCCACTGACCTATCTGCAGAAGATGGCTCATGTTCATCCTGCTGCTCCACTCAGAAAAGGGAATGGTTTAATTCATCCATTAAAACTATTGAGGATCTTCCAACAAAGAAAAAGGAGACTCCAAATTGGAAATCATCCATTTATGTTTTACGTTCAGAGTTTCAAAAAAGAAAACTTTAAAATAATTACCACAGGAAGCATTCAGGGCTTTATTTTTCAAAACAAATTATATGTTCAACCCTCAAACTCACACAATAAAATGAAAAGAGCACATATTACAGCAGGACTGTGGTTATTATTTACTCTTTTTTCCAAAGCACCTTGAATGCTATAACATTCTCACAATAAAAGACTAGAGATTCATGTTAAAAGGTGTACGTGTGTATGTGTATATATATATATAAATATATGCACTACCTTTATTATATCTAAAATTCAATACCAGTAAGGTATTCCAACTGAGCTTTGAAATTGCTCTGAAACTACACATTATGAAATGTGGTACATAGTGAGTGCTCAACATGTTTGTTGAGTTGGGTTTTATCTACATTAAGACTCTTTCCATTAGAAAATATACTTCCCTAATTATGTTTGGGTAAGGCTAATATTAAGAGCTGTTCTTTCTGTTCCTTAAATACACGTTAATTAATGAGCTAAAAAAAAAAAGATAGGTGTCAAAACCCACCTTTCTGGGAACCAACTACTATAGCAAGCAATGGCTGTGAGCTAGGAAATCCAGGAACTATTCACCAAATATCTATCCCAGGTACCATGCTGAGTGCTGAACCTGGAAGACAGTCCTTGCTTTCAAAGAGCATAAATAAGGGACAATGAGAGGGGCACTTAGAAACACTCAACAAAGCAGTATTTTAATGGTAGTTCAAGATAAATGCCAGAATATCCTCATGAATATGTTAGTATGAA